ATTTGTTCCACGGCTTTTTTCTGATTTTCTAAACTGGGGATTGGCACTCTAATTTCTTTCAAAGCATTAGCGTTAAATTGCGGTTGGGCCGTTCCTCCTACTAAATTATTTACTTGCTTTCAATATTCGGAAGTTTGAGCGAAGCATCAGTAGTATTCCGGCAATATTACTTTTTTGTTTAAATTAACCCTAATTAAATCATTAGTGAAAACAGTTTTTTCGTTGTTTTGAAAAATTGCTGTTCTTCCGCAATTTCCATGCCGGGCAGTAACGATATCGCCTTTGTTTAGTAAATATTTATTCTCATCAATATTTTCCGGTAAATCAATATATTTCTTTCCTTGCTCTAAAATGTTTCCAAAGTCAATATCTCCGGTTTGAATAAACCTATATTTCCCTTTATCGCTGGCTTTGGTATTATAACCATATTCAAAACTAGCAATCTCACCTAATTTCTTATACTCAACAGGTTTCATCAGCGAAACAAAAAGCGGAAATTTAAGATTATCAACTATTTGCTGAGCATTTTGAATACTTTGCTTGATTTTATTTAATCCCAAAATGATTTTGTTTTGTTCCTCCAAGGAAACAATAGGAATAGGAAACTTTCTCAAAACATCTAGTCTTAAATGTTGGACCGCAGTTCCAAAGGATTGTTCTAATAATACCTTTTCTACTTGCGGAGATTGAAAAACGGCTGATAGATATTTAGGCAATATTTTACTTTTTCATTCCTCTTTAATTCTAATTATGGCAGTTGAACCATAAGCTATTCCCTTTTCGGCGGTTTCAGGGAAAATTGCCACTTTTCCCAAAGTTCCCATAATAGTCATTAAAACATCGTCTTTTTTTAACTCATGGACTTTTAATTCTTGGTATTTTTCCTCATTAATATAGCGATTGTTGAGTGAAAAGTCATTATTAATTACATGCTCTTGCTGATAAACTTTGTAAGAACCATTATTAGCAAAATAATCTTTTAAACTAGAAGCCCGATAACTACTGAATATCCGAGCAACTTCCTCCAAAGTCAAATACTCTTTTTCTTTGTTGGGAACCGGAAAATTATAAGGTTTGATTAGTAAATTATAACTATTTTCCTCCACATCTTTATAATAAATCTTGGTAAATAGCGGAGAACTAGTTTTTTCCTCTACCACTATTTCTTTTCAAGTGGAAGCCAAAATATCTCAATCATTCACTCCTTCCATTCTATCGCGGTGATTATTCAAAGTAAAACCATCATTTTTAATTTGGTAGTAATAAAAATAATCTCTCATTTTCTTTTTCTTTTCCATGATAATAACCGAACTTTTGCTACCTGTATAAGGTAAAAATATACCTTTGGGTAAGGAGATAATAGCTTGAATGGAATAGTTTTCTATCACTCATTTCTTAGTATCTTGGTATTTTTTGATTTTTTGCGTAAAAAATCCTTCCGGCATAATCATTACTACCTTTCCATTTTCTTTACAAGCCATTAAACAATGTTGAATAGCCAAACAATCCCCATATTTACAACTGATAGGATATAAGTTTCCAAACTCAATGTCGCTAAAACCAAAAGGAATATTAGTAATTACCAAATCATAGGCTTCATCAACCGGAAATTGAAAAGTATCCCGGCGTTGAATATTATTATGCCCGTCTCCAAACAAAATCATATTCATTTTGGTAATGCGGGCCACATTAGTGATTTCATTGCCATAAAAGCAATTGGTTAATATTTCTTTATTTTGAGAGTCCAGTTTAATTCTTTCACTAACATACTTAAAACACTCAATTAACATTCCTCCGGTGCCACAAAAG